GCGCGGCGGTTCGGCCTTGTCTTCATCGTCCTCGTTGCTCTGGTCGCCGTCGTGCTCGTCGATCTTGTCGATGTCGATGCTCTCCAGGTCGATCTCCTCGTCGTCCTCGGCCTTCTCGGGGTCGCCCTCCGTGTCGCTTCCGAAGAGGGCGCCGTCCTCTTGGTCCTTGCTGCGCGCGCCCCACGTCACCTTGTTCTCCTTCTTGAGGCGCCGGCGCGCGTTGGCGAACCAGGTGGAGACCTGCGTGAGGGTCATCTTGGTGATGATGGCCAGCATGATCTTCTCGCCCTTGGTGGGGTAGGGGTTCTTGCGGTGCTCGTTGAGCCAGGCCTTGAGCGTGCTGGTGCTCTCGCGCGTGGCGTTCTTGGGCCTCCCGGGGTCTCCGTACTGGAACTGGCCGTAGGGGTAGTAGGCCGGCGCCGTGTGGGCGGCGAAGGTGGCGGGGTGCACCCCGGGGTTGTCCTTGAGTTCATACTGTGAGCCCTGCGACCGCGCGGCCCGGCGAGGCCGAGGAGAGAGAGAGAAAGAGAGAGATGAGTGCCCAGAACCGCGAAGTCGGGGTGGGCGGCGGGGGCTCCGCTGAGAGCAGAGGCCCCAGGGCCGGCGGCGCTCAGACCAGGAGCTGCCTCCGGGAGCGGCGCTTCCACCGACCCTGGAGAGCTTGCTGTCACTCAAGAAAAGTTCCAGAATCCTTGCCTCTGGAAGGCCACAGAAGAGCCGGGCCCCTAGGATTTCCCGAGGCCGCCCTCCCCCACTCGCAGCCCCCGCCGACTCCAGAAGCCGGATTTCCAAGTTTACCTCGCAGTAGCTGGAGGGGAAAACCTTTCAACTAGGCCGATAAAACAGCTTCTCCAAACCTAAAGAACCCACAGCCCGCGCCCCCACCCTTCGACCCCGAGGGGGTCAAACACAACAAACCACCGGGGCTTCTCCCGGCCCCCGATCCTCCAGCAATTTAAAATGAAAGCACAGCTCCTTCCAGCTTCCACGTTAATCTGCATATAATGGCGCACCCACACTTACAGGCCTAAAGTGGTGACAGGTCTTTTAAAATTTTAATCCCGGCCATCATTGACAACAATAACAAAACACCATTTTTTTTTTTTTTTTAACACAAAAGGAGGGCTCATCCGGTGAAATATTAACGCCACCGCGCCGGCGAGCAGGATCCGGTTTCCCGGGCCTCTGCTACTTTATCTGCGAAGTTTGCCTGCTCCGCAGCCAGCAGCACAGACTGCGCCCAAGCACTTAGAGGCCCTGATTTATTTGCAATCAATATTCTTTTTATCATGGGTAGTAAAACAGCGAGTCAAATTATCCCATCAAGGTTTTTTGGTAAATAACATTTTGTCTTCCTAACGACCTCATTAGACCTCTTTATTACCATAAATCGTCCAGACAGACGTTCACCCACATTTTAGCTTTCGACTCCCAAACTCCGTCCTAAAGGCTTGGAAACCCGGGCCAGACGGCGGAGTTTGGGGTTCAGCTTCCTTTCCAAGAACGGGCAAGAGACCACGGAGAGACACACCTTAAGGGGGGACCACAGAGAAAGTCTCCCCCTTAGCAAAAAAAAATCGATCCTCTCCCTTCCCCACGACTACAATAGGGGCAGGTCCTCACCACAGAGCCACCCCCCCAAAAAAACACGGGGGGGGGGTCCCAGAAGGCACATATCTTACTTGAAATTTCTGTAAAATATTCTAATCCTCCACGGACCATTCTCCACTTGGTGTGCGAGCAGAAGGGGGTCCCATCTCAAAGTTGTAAGGAGCAGATTTCTGTGACTAATTCGTCCGGTGGTCGAAGCCTCAGAGAAAAGGGCTCCTTGGGCAGATTTCGTTTTTGCCTAATCTTTTTAAAAATGTACTTTGCCCTTCTCGAATGATTTTGGTCGTGACCGTAAAGAACACATCGCCGCCTCGTCTCTGGGGTAACTCTCTTCGAAAGGACACCTTGTGCATGTCTCACGGCCGGCTGGCCGGCGGGCTGGCGTCGCGGCCGCGGGGACAAAATGGGAGCGGATCCCTTTCGATAGCAAAGGATCTGAGAAGCAGCCGCGGCCGCTCTCAGAGGCTTTCTTTCCAAAACGACGAGAAAAAGTTACAGGACAACACACCCGCCGCCTTACTGGCGGCGTCCGGTGGGCGAGTATTTGTTTCTCGCCTTTTTCGGGGAGTGGGAGACGAGGGAGAGGGGGGAGCCCCCAAACTACGTTAGCCCGCCCGCAGCAGCGCAAGGGGTACAGGTCACCAGCAGCCCGAACTTCAGCCGGACCCTTCACCAGACCAAGGAAAATAGGTTCTGTGGCCCTCGCGGTCCCGCGGCGCCCCTCCCCCACGTGACCCCCGGCGTGGACACCCGGAGGACACCATTTATTTTCAGCCCAGGACACCGTCTTCTTTAACCTCCATTATGTCACGCAAATGAAATGAAAACTTTGGCAACTTACGAAAGTCAAAGCAAACACCATTTTAGACGCCCCCAAAATATTTCAACTTAATTTTCTCCCTAAATCTCCAGTTTGCACAGACGCCATTAAGACAACCCTCGGGCCGGTCCGATCGCCATTGTTACGCGGATTTTGACCGCCAGCACCGGGCTGGAAACCCGGAGGCGACGGCGTGGCCTCGGCTTCGGGGGGAGACGCTGAGTCTCCCCGGCCCTGCCCAAAGCCGCGGCGGTCGCG